CGCCGGGCGGCGCCGCCCGCGCATGCCGCCCGCGCCGGCCCGCGGCGCGCCGCGGCTGCGGCGCCATGCCACGGGCGCTTTCGGGGGTCTCTGGGCCGGCGAGGGGCGGCGAGGGCGAGGGAGCTCCTCCTCCTCAGTCCTCCTCGATCCTCCTGCTCCTCCTCCTCGATCCGCTTCCTCGATCCTCCTCCTCCTCCTCCTCCTCGATCCTCCTCCGCCTCCTCGATCCTCCTCGATCCTCCTCCTCCTCCTCCTCCTCCTCCTCCTCGATCCCCCTCCTCTTCCAGCAGGAATGAAAACAAAACAGCATGTCCTCCTCGATCCTCCTCCTCTTCCTCCTCGATCCTCCTCGATCATCCAGAATAAACATGAACTGTTTGAGGTGCGCGCGCATTTCTCGGATCGGCGCTGAAACCTCTCCGTGGCGCGCGGAGCGCGCCAGAGGTGGCGCTGGAGGCGCCGAAGGGGGGGGGACCCAGCGCCGACCCTAGAAATCCGCGCGGAGGTCCGAACGTTGATGTTCATGAAGGTATTTCTCTTTCGATCCTCTGGGGAAGTAAACACAATCAGAGTGAGGGGGCCGAACGGTCATTCATTGTCCCTGGGTGCGTGGCTGAAGTGAGACTCCGTGGTGAGGATTATGCTTGCTGCGTTGTTGTTGTTGTTGTTGTTGAACTCTCACTTCTGAAGAATAATGATTGTTGATCCCCCCTCACCGGTGCATATTGTTTTTCAGTCAAAGTGTGCCCCTCGACGCTCGCAGTTTTCTGATAGGGAAAATCTTGGTGGTCAAACTGGGCCCCTGGCCCCCCGGACTACAACAACAACGGCTCCCGCCTGAGACTTCCTTCAAATTTACTCAGGACCCCCCTCTCGTCTGAGACTTTAATAGGGAGCGGCGCTCCCGCTTGAGACTTCCTCACAAATTTAGTCCGGGCCAAACTGCGTTGCTGCTCCCCCAGACAACAACAACAACAACAACAACAACAACAACAACAACAACAACAACAACAACAACAACAACAACAACGGCTCCCGCATGAGACATCCTCCAAATTTATGCAGGACCCCCGCTCCCGCCTGAGACTTCCTCCAAATTTACTCAGGATCGGCGCTCCCGCCTGCGACTTCCTCGCATCTTAGTCGGGACCCCCCCCCCGTCTGAGGCTTCCTCAGAATTCACTCAAGAACGGCGCTGCCCCTTACGATTTCCTTGCGCTTTAGTCTAGACCCCCGCTCCCGACGGACATCCCCTTTTCAGGAATTGCGATCTCGCCTATGACTTTTTCGCAGTTTATTCAGAAATCGCACTATCTACGCTCAGGCACCACGTTCGCGCCAAGGACGCCATCACACTTTACTTAGGAATCGCGCTATCGCCCTATTCAGGCATCCCGCTTGAATGTCCCACCCGCCCGACCCACCCGTCAGAGGATCGTCCGCCCGTTGTGGGCTGCCGCCCGAGACTTCCTTGCGGAATGGCGCTTTCGCCTAGGACTTCTTCGAACGTTCGCACTCTTACCTTCCTGCTCCTCCCTCCTCCCGGGCCGCCTCCCCCCTCCTTCCGATTCCCTCTCCCTCGCACGTCAGCTGATGTTGAATTTTCATTCCTGAAGAATGATTTCAGTTGGTCCCCCCCACCGGTGCGCATTGTTTTTTCTCAATCCCTCGACGCTCGCACCCTGTTTATTTGACACGGAAAATCATCCGGGCCAAACTGTGCCCCTGGGCCCCCGGCTATAACAACACCGGCTCCCGCCTCAGACGCACCCAGTGAGGAATGCAACCCCCCAAAAGGGGGTACGATCGAAGACGAAGAGGGCGGGCATCCAGGGTTTAGGATATGCATACTGAATGACACGCGGGCCGGTAGGAGCGAACAATCTTGAAAATGATTGTTGTTGTTGTTGTTGTCGTCGTCCCCCCCGCGACCCACCCGCGACCCACCCGCGCCCCATTCCGCGACCCGCCCCGCGACCCACCCCGCGACCCACCCCGCGACCTAACCCGCGACCCACCCGCGACCCGCCCCGCGACCGCCCCGCGACCCACCCCGCGACCCACCCGCGACCCACCCGCGACCCACCCGCGACCCGCCCCGCGACCCACCCGCGACCCACCCCGCGACCCATCCACGACCCACCCGCGACCCACCCGCGACCCACCCGCGATCCACTTGCGACCCACCCGCGACCCACCCCGCGACCCACCCGCGACCCACCCGCGACCCACTCGCGACCCACCCGCGACCGATCCACATTGGTCTGAAGAAAAATCTGCGCCTTCGGCGGGCTCGTCGTGCAAATTTTGGAATTTTGGGGCCTGCGGCGGGCTTCTCCAGAGTCTCCTAGGCTGCCGACGTCCCCACCGCCCCCTTGCTCGTATCCGCATCTGCGGGGTGCTACGTACCCAGCTCGCGTAACTTTGCACATCGCCGCGTTGCGCCCCGCGATGCGCGACGCATGGCTCTCTCGCCGCCGCCCTGGAGAGGGGCGCATTTCCAACCCCAGCCGCGATGCGCGAAGCGCGATTACCTTCGCGCCACTGGGTATGACCCAGGGTACCGATGCCGCTAATCACCTGGACCCTTCCAAGGGTGCGTTCTGACCAGAGCTTCGAGGCGAATCCAGCCGCGACGACAAGGGACGGTTAGCGGTAATGGTGTCTTCTGATCTTCCTCCTCTTCCCCCGTTTGGGGGGAGGGCAGAGGACCGTAGCAATAAAGCAGTCGAGGTCCCAAAAGCTGTGTGGCGACAGACTCTGCGGCGACCTCGAGGCGACCTCTACGGTCGCAGACCTCGGAGGCTCCGGTCGCCCGCAACAGGGTGGCGTTCTTCCTCGAAGGGGGCGCGCCCGAACAACACTTACGTCGGGCCTGTCCCCCTCTACATGGGGATTTTTGAAGAAAAATAAAAAATACCCAAAAAATAATAAAAAAATAGTCCCAAAATAGTGCGGGGACTATTTTTGAGGTACTTGTTGGCCTTTTTGGGGTATGTGTGGGTTATGTTTTATTTTTCGTCGAAAATCCCCCTGTAGGGGGACAGGCCCGACATAAAACAACACCCTAGGGGTGTATCCCACGTTTCCCACCTTATCCTGACCGGACAAGTTTTTCGGGCGGGGCTCGGGGACCCAGGGCGGAGAGTCGCCTGCGGAGGGGAAACGGGAAGCAGCCGCAGGTGAAGATGAAGCTGATGACGGCGCGCCCTGGAAGGCGGGTTTCCTGAATAGCTTGCACTCCCAGCACTTGATCAGAAGTCCCTCGTCATATGGGTTCTGATGCCTATCTCCTCCGTCACATCTGAGGCAGGAGAAGGCAACCGCAGAGGCAGGAGAATAAGAGAGCAGCCTTAAACAAAGCGGAGGGAGAGAGACAGAGAAGAGGGACGCCCAGAAGTCCGACAGAGCAATACATTGGCAAGCAGGGCGGCGGGATGCCTCAACGCCCCACCACGATACGGCAACCTGCGGGACGGACAGGCGAGCGTCGGGGTGACTGGGTAGGTCTGAGAGGACGAGAGCATACTTTCTCGCACTGATGTACTCCTCCCCGACATCCTCCATCTCCATGGGTACCCAACCTCCCCCTCTCCTCCCTCATCTCCACCCCTGCGCGGATCTGTTGTTGTTGGTATTGCGAATAACACGATGGGACCCTATTTGGAGTTCCAGGTCCGCAAAGCCACGCGTCGGCGGATCGAGAAAGAACAGCGCATTCGGAAGGGAGGGAAGGGAGAAATAGGATATCAGATGCGGCGCGAGCGCACCTAGCTTGCACTCCCTCCTCCTCCTCCTCCTCCTCCTCCTCCTCCTCCTCCTCCTTCGCCTCGTCTTCCTCCCCCCAAACTGCCATCGAACCGAGAGGCCGCGGGCCGTCAAGCGGATAATTCCAAACTGTCGCAACGCGACACCCATGGGCACGAGAGCAGGCGACGTTTGGCTTGTCGTAACTTCCGCGAGATTGCTGAGTTGAACAGACCTCATACGCCGCTCATCTTCCATCTTCCTCCTCCTGCTCTTCCTCATCCTCCTCCTCCTTCAACGCCTCCCTCATCTCCCTCATCGTCGCCTTTCTCCTCCTCCTCCTCCTCCTCGTCGTCGTCCTCCTCCCGATCCTCCTGCCGCACATCCCCAATACTCTTCCAAATTGCGCCTCCGTTCTGCCCTCATCATGTCCTCGTCCTCCTGCTCCTCTTCTCTTTCGTCTTTTTTTTTTTTCTTCTTCTTCGTCCTCCTCCTCCTCCTCCTCCTCCTCGTGGTCTTCTTCCTCCTCCCGATCCTCCTGCCGCACATCCCCAATACTCTTCCAACTTGCGCCTCCTTTCTCTCCTCAGCGTTTCCTCGTCCTCCTCCTCCTCCTCTTCTTCCTCGTTGTCCTCCTCTTCTTCTTATTATTATTGTTATTATTATTATTATTATTATTATTATTCTTTCTCTTCTTCTTCTTCTTCCTCTTCGTCCTCCTCCTCCTCCTCCTCCTGCCTCTCTCCCCTCTCTCCGCCTCCTCCCTCCCCTGCTCTGCCGCGGCACACCTGGAAAACATCATAGGCCTCCCCGGGGGCCGGCTCCTGCTCCCGAGAGGAGCCGCCCGCCTGCGACGGCCCCGCGGCGGGGCCCGCCCCGCCGGCCCGAGCAGCCCCCGGAGATCAGGGCCCCGTAGAGCCTGTTTTTTTAGATTCTGGCAGTTTTACTTGCATGGACGGGGGGGGGGGCTGAGCCTGAAGCAAGTCTGGGGGGTGGGGGGCGCGGAAATCACGCAAGTCGAAAGGCACTTGCACGCTAGTATTCGCTTGAAGAGGGGCGAGGGGGGGGGGGGGGGGGGGCGAACGCCATGCAAGTAAACTTGCCTGAGCCCAAACAAACAGGCTCGTAGACCCAGACACGCTAGACCCGGACACCCAACATCCCTCGAAACCGCAGTTTCCAAGCGGCGGCACGAAGAAAATACTGCGCTGCAGCAGTTCCAGAATATAAGCCCGGACACAGGCCTCAAAAGCCTGCAAGACCCCCCCCCCTGAATCCGGACACGGACCCGAATCCTGCAGCGCAGCAAACAAAACATGCACGGGTGCTGAAAAACGTGACCTCGCAGGAAAGGATGTCGTTTCCTTGGTTTCCTGTGTCCTGGTTTATCTGTGTCCTGGTCTCCGGGGGCCTGACGGAGAGCACCTCCGTCGGACCCCGGGCGGCGGCCCGCGGCGACGGCGCCACCGACCTGCCCGACAACGGAGCACGGGGATGGGCCGCGGCCGCAGAGGCACACGCCGGCCGCAAGAAGTGTAGGCAAACAAGACACACGTGAATCAGGGGGACGTGAGACCTGGGTACAGGGGACTCGGAAATCCCCGACGAGGTCGTCAAAAAAATGACGAGGCCGAGCCTGCATTTTGACGAGGCCTCCCGCTGCAGACATCCCACGAAACTCCTCCTCGTCAAAATCCGAGGCGCGGTCGTCAAAAAACGATGGCGAACCCGAGTCCTGGCAAACCCGGGTCTTGCGCTCCCCCGAATGAAGTGGGAAAGCGGATCAAGTGGAGTGGGCCCCGGCCATCCCAGGAGGACCACAAGACACAGCAACGGCAAGCCGATTCTTGAAGCAGGAAGGCGCTTGCAGTAGATTGGGATGTGGGAATCAAAAAAACTAGCTGCTTTCAACGACTGGGCGTGTATGCCGGAAGCGGCCAGGGCGGAAGCAAAGCAGCGTCAGGTCGAGCACGTGGTCCTGATGTCAGCTCGTGGTCAAGAGATCCGTGGGCAGGCGCGCGTTTTAACAAAATAGTTCCCTTGCTCGGGCGAATCGCGGAGTGGCGCCCGCCAGATTGAGAATCAACGGGGCGGCGCCGGTGATTAGCGCCGACGCCCGGCCGCCGACGAGGGGCAGGGAGGGGGGCGTTTGGAGGCGAGAGCGAGCGAGGGGCTCGCTCCTCTTTCTGTCGAACCGATGCGGGCCTGAGGGCAAGGCGGGCTGGACGAAAGTGGGCGCAGCAAAGGGGGAATTTGCGAAGCAGCTCACGTCGCCGATTTTCCAAGCGCCTCATGGCGCCGAAAGCGGCCCTCTTACCCCTCCTGGCCCATCCTCCTCCTCCTCCCCCTCCTCCTCCTTCTCCTCCTCCTCGTCCTCCTCTTCCTCCTTCTCCTCCTCGTCGTCCTCGTCCTCCTCCTTCTCCTCTTTCTCCCCCCTCCCCCTCCTCTCTCCTCCATCCCCCTGGCGCGCGTAATTCAAAAAAAATATCGCGCCCCGTGGGGTCTATTCATCAACTTCGCTCAAAAAATAGTCCCCATAGCATTTTTGGATTATTTTTGAATACCTATACGACCACCCTTCGGGTGATAAGGAGGTTGTGTGGGGGGGAACCATCATCTGACTCAATCGATCTCACTATCGATCTCACTCAACGGGACACCACGGGACACCACGGGACACTTGTCGATCTCGCTATCGATCACACTATCGATATCACTCAACAGGACACTACGGGACACCACGGGCCACCACGGGACGCCACGGGACACCGCCGGACACCTCTCGATCTCAGTATCGGTCTCACTATCGATCTCACTATCGATCTCACTCAACGGGACACCACGGGACACCACGGGACACTTGTCGATCTCGCTATCGATCACACTATCGATATCACTCAACAGGACACTACGGGACACCACGGGCCACCACGTGACACCACGGGACACCGCCAGACACCTCTCGATCTCACTATCGGTCTCACTATCGATCTCACTATCGATCTCACTCAACGGGACACCACGGGACACCACGGAACACCTAGGGACTCCACATCGGTCTCACGATCGATCTCACTATCGATCTCACTCAACGGGACACCACGGGTCACCGCGGGACACCCCGGGACACCTTTCGATCTCACTATCGATCGCACTTTTTGGAACACCAAGGGAGACCTCGGGGCACCACATCGATCTCAGTATCGATATCGCTATCGATCTCACTCAAAAGGTCACCACGGGACACCACGGGACACCTGTCGATCTCACTATCGATCTCACTTTTTGGGGCACCACGGGACACCATGGGACACCTCGGGGCACCACATCGATCTCAATATCGATCACAGTATCGATCTCAGTATCGATCTTAGTATCGATCTCGCTATCGATCTCACTGAACGGGACACCACGGGACACCAAGGGGCACCGCGGGACACCGCGAGCCACCGCCGGACGGACGGATGGACGGGCGGGCGGGGGAGAATCATTTGTCTTGACTTCGCCCTAGCAACGGCGGACACAGCGGGACACCACGAAACACCGCGGGACACCGCGGGACACCGCGAGCCACCGCCGGACGGGCGGGAGGGGGAGAATCAGTTGTCTCGACTTCGCCCTAGCAACGGCGGACACCACGGGACACCACGGGCTACCGCGGGACACCGCGAGCCACCGCTGGACGGGTGGGCGGAGGAGAATCATTTGTCTTGACTTCGCCCTAGCAACGGCGGGTTCATTTCTCTCGTGCGCCTTCGCAGCTTCGCCTCGCCCGCACTCACGAAACGAACGAAACGAAACGATTTCTCGGTTGGGGGTCTCCGTTCCACTGCGATCTCACCCCCAAACCTCCGATTCCCCCTGTAGAGGAACACGCCCGACTTAACAGTAGCGGCAGGCAAGGCTTGTCCTCTACAGTAGGGGCCCGACCAAAGGAACCTTCCACGAGAAAGCCAACCCTGAGACCCCGAGGCGTCCATCGGTTTTCGGTATGGGAGCGTCACGCTTTCCGTTGCAAGGCCACCGAAACCCAAGAAACCCAGGGCACCCTGGAGGCAAGCAGGGGTCTCCACTGTATGCCAGAAGCGGCCGGGACAGAAACAGTAGCGTCATGTCTGGCATGTCCTCCTACAGGCGGATCTTGGACGAAACCTAAAACATAGTCGAAACATCGATTCATAAATAGGCAGGGATATTCGGCAAATCGTCCCCAGGCGATTCTCTTCAGGATTTTCGAATATTCCCCCTGCAGAGGGACGTGCCCGACTTGACAGTAGCCCTCAAAACATCGTCGGTCGACCGGACCGAGCCGACCAGACGCAGCCGACCGCAGCGCAGCCGAGCCGACCGAGGCTCCCGAAGAGCCTCACGGCCCGGGACGCCGGCGGGGCGGGGCGGGCGCGGGGCACCCCGGGGCCCGGCGCCACCACCGCCAGTAGACCCGACCTGTCGCGGGGAGGGGGGATGCCGAGGCCCGGAGACCCTCGAAGGGGGAGGGAGGAGGAGGAGGAGGAGGAGGAGGAGGAGGAGGAGGAGGACTGGACTGGACTGGAACGCTTACGACCCTGATGAGTTCCACTGTCGTGCGACGCTTAGCAAACGAGCACAAGATATGTAAAAGGATCTGCGGATAGCACGGGGCTATAGCCTGCAGCCTCGCTGGGGGGAGCCTCTGGCCCAGAGCAGGACCGTCCAATGGGGAACTGCCCGTGACGGCCTACTTGGGCACCATCCTCCCAGCGACAGGCTCGCGATTAGAAGAGAGTCGAAAGTCTCCCCCAATTCAATCCTAGGCCACGGCCCAGCAACGACACGACAAGGGAACGACGGGGAACGACGGGCGAGGAGAAACAGGACACCGCCAACACACGCAGACACACACACACACACACACACGCACGAGGCCAGAAGGAGGAAGAGAGCAAGCAGCAGCAGAAGCCGCGGGAGAGAGGAAAGGAGGGGGAGAGGGCAGCAGGCAGCGGAGGGGGCCGTGGCGTTAAGTACGAAACTCAGTCTGATCAACCTCTATGTTCAGTGACGGTGGTGGTGGGGGAGGAGGGGGAGCAAGCAGCGCACTCGAAGCACGCGCATCAGCAGAGAACGAGGAAGAGTCGAGGTCAGTGGAAACTGTCCTGACCTGGGCGGCTCTCTGAAGAGCCTGAACCACCGTCAACTGAAACTCTAACGGCTCCTGATAATAAGCCTTGAATTTCACATTTCCTGAAACGTGTTCTAAAATAGGGGCCGTTGATTTCTCTTGCAACTTGGCCAACTGGGAATGTCCTATGTGGCCTCCTTGGGCCAGTTCAAGCATTCTGATTGACTGATTAATCGGCGACAAACGAGCAGGCTGCCTAATCCTTGAACTGCGTGCGAAGGGCTTCGCTGATGCCGTCGCAGCAGAGGGTGTCGCCGCCGTAGCAAGATCCAATCTCTGAACCAAAGAAGATGCCTTCGCAGCAATAGGTGTCGCAGCCGTAGCAAGATCCAATCTCTGAACCAAGGAAGAAGAATGTGCCATATTGGCACCAGTCTCTGAATCAATCTCTGAATTAATATTGTCACCATCTACTCTGCCGGATGCTTCTGAATCTCTTCTTGAGCCATCCCGAACTTGGCCAACAAGCGCTCTGCGTCCCTCTCCAGCGCTCCCTTGGGAGCTGCTCCCGCCTTCAACTTGCCTTTCTCCTGGCCGATGCAGACCTGCAATGCCGCGTGGGTCGTCATCAATGCTGAGCCGTCGACCGTGACCACCTGACTCTGGATATATGGGCTCATCATGAACTGTAGCTTGTAAGTGTCCGCCTCCTTCTTGCCGCCCTTCTTGTCGAACCAGCACGCCCTTATGCGACAGTAGCGCACATGATCTGATAGTGTCCGAAGGGTCTCCGCTTTGTCGTCCTTGATCGTCTGCGACAAGTAGTTCTTGAGTGCCGCCAACGCCTGTTTCACCACGGGTTCTTGGCTGCCCGAAAGCGTTGCCCGGAAGTGGGCCACTAGCGCCATGAATATATGGGGCCATGGAGGCCCGTTGTCGTGCTGCTTCCCCTGATCCTTGCAGTCAATCGCGTAGTCCTGGCCAGCTGTCTTCATCACTCCCACGAGGCCTGCGGTGGCTGGCATGAGGAAGCAAGTGAACGTAGCGCCCGTGATTTCCGCGAGATCTCTGGCACTCGCGAGCGAAAGCCTGCGCAAGACCGTGAGCAGGGCCGCCATGATGCCGCCCTCCTTGCCTTTGAGCTCCAGACGGGCCTGCTGTACGACCTGCTGCTCCAGCCGCTGCCTTTGGTTGTCTCCGCCTGTGGCCTGACTGGCCTTGCGCTTGCTGCCGAGCTGCCAGGCTGGGGCGCTGGCCATTATCACCACCGTCGAATAGTAGCGGTAGCCGCGTAAAGTGCGAACGAATGCGTCGTGAAAGTTGAGAAGGTTCGGAAACTTGAACCTCGCACAACGGACCGTCCGAGGATAAAGGTGTAGGTGTTCGGAATGTCGTGCTGAGATTCACCACACATACTCCACTCTGGAAAGAATCCACCACATGTTTGTAAGCTGAATTTCTCGATTCAAACACGCTATTGCACACAAAGCACTGGTTGTTGACCACGGCGGTCCCAAGGATCGATTTAAGGCCATGATGATTGTGTAAATGAACCAAGACCTGACGTTTACTCTGGAACCTTCTGAGGCACCCGTGGACTGGACAACCGTACTCCCCAACATCTTGCTGCGCCTCGGGGTCCTCTGGGGCCTCTGATGGTGGGGTCCATGACGGAGGAGGGATACGAACCGATAAGTACGCGGCCCTGATCTTTTTTGTGTCAAAGAGCGTGAACCAATCGATCAGCTCAGGGTCAGAGAAGAGATGAAGAGGCTGCCCATCGAACTGCTGCACCATACTGTATTCATCGCCCCCGAGCTCTGCCAGCGATGAAATGTCATCAACAAATCTGCGAGCCCAGGGACATGCAGCCTGAGTGAGCCGAGCGTCGCCACCCACAATCGGCAACTCGTTAGCGAGCTCGACCCGCATACTGCCTAGTCGTGCTCCCCATTCTGCGATGTGTTGTTTAGGATTCCTCACCCACCTTTGATACCACCTGATCCTCCTTGCTCTGAGCTCATGTTCTACTGGGGCCATCTGCCACAAACGATAAACCTGCATGTTGGAAATCGAGACATTGTGCCCATCCTTCTCGTATGTTGCTCCTCCCCTCATCGCCCTCCGTGCATCGTATAGTACTCGTGCTTGTAGTTTGTCTAGGTGTGCCTGTGTAGGTAGGAATGCTTCTACTCCAGAAACTGCTGGCCCTAGAACCCGAGAAAGAAATGCAGCTCGCTTCTCGACTGGGAGGACGCCGTACTGATACCAATATCTGCCCATGCTGTGAAATCCAGCGTCGATAACTGCAAGCCCGGCCGAAAGCTCGCCGTTAAATGTGCAATCTGCTCGCGCAAGGCCCCCCGGCATCTTGGCGAGATCGCTGGGCTCTCCAGCTGTCGGAAGAGCTGTGGCCTTAAATCTCGTGCGGCCTGCCTGCGAGCCTTCTCCAAAAAGAGCCAGCGCCGTCTCATTCTTCGCGGGGTTGAGGAGGTAATTGTGTGTGGGGAGCCGCTCAGAGAGGAGGGTGTTGTAGGACAGCGATTTAGTGCTGAGCTCCAAATGGGATGCAGTGCCATGCAAGCCAGAAATCAGTGTCTTTGTAGCATCGTCAACATACGTGTGAAACGAGAGGTCAAGCTCGATGGGTTCCTCATCTTCCTCATCTTGCGGCAAATCAACAATGCACCGATCAGAAGTATCATCAGTGCCCTCGATAAATTTGTCCTGGGCCTGTTCGAAAACGATGTCGATGTCCCTGGTAAAGACTTTAACTGCCCACGTGTCCCCCTGGAGTGCTCCCACGTGAGGCTTGGCGAAGAGGAACCTGTCGGGACCTTGGAAGGCGACCGCTGATCTCCTGAACCTTTGCTCACCGAATCGGACCTCTTGGGGTTTCATGATGGCCTCGTTGGTGCAGGAGAGGTGGGTCCAGTCGGTGCTGCCGAAGGCATTCGTGATGTCCTTATGACCTCTAATGTGCTGCAAGCCTAGGCGTCTGAGACGCCAACTCAAACTCTGTTGAATCATCATGGCCGTCTCTCGTCGTCGGCCAGCCACGCAGCCGTGAGCGAAGAGGGGCTCCCGATCCCGCTGATCAGGTTTGAGACCTGCGGCAATGAAAGCCTTGCCGAACGGGCACAGCACGCGCACAAGCCTCTTAAAGTTGATGGCGATACCCTGGGACAAGTGCCAAACTACTGGTGTTTGTCCAGAGCGATAAACTCGATGGAGAAGTACTTTCAGATAATACCTAGTCCACTTCTGGTCGACCGATGGAGCCTCATATCCTAGCCCACGAAACCTCTTGGAGATCCTTCTGTAGGGGTGCAGGAGCATCCAGAAGAGCTCTAGTGGGAGTGATCACGGAGGTGCTGCGCGTCTCTTACTGGCCTTCCGAAGATATCTGGATATGAGCTGGAGCTTCTCCGTGGCCCACTGGAGGCCGTCCTCGCTGAAGGGGAACTGGAACTGCTCGGTTTCTAGCCCAAACTCTGGATGGTACAAGAAATCCTCGGTCTCCTGGAACCACTCAATGATAGTGGCCTCCAAACCGCCCTGACTAGAAGGCAACTGGAGGCGAGCCTTGAGGTCCTCGGAGCAGGGAACAGCAGCAGCCGCTTGTTTGTAATTGCGCTTCTTGGGGCCCGTGCCCCTGGCTGACAAGAGACGAGACAGTCGAGCAACTTCTGCCTTGCGATCCTTCTGGTGGGCCGTCACCAGCTCGTCGGTGATGTCCTGACGCCACAGTGTGAGGTAGCGTCTGCGTAGCCGTCGGAGGTCTTTGCTGAGCGCCCGAAGCTCTTCGGTGATGCCGGCAATCTCGTTTATGTGAAGAGCGTCACCTAGTGCCTCACGTAGCTGGCGCCTCTGTTGGATGAGACTGGTCACATGTGCTGCGCGCTGCTTGTACTCGGATGAGGGCGAAGGCGGAGTCGTGAAAAAAGGAGCCGCAGCCTCACCGAGCACCTGGAGCAAATAAGACCAATCTCGATTGGGGGTCTGCTCATTTCTCTGAAACTGCTTCCACTCATCAGTGTCGTCTGCGATCCGTTGTTCAACCTTTTGAAGACATTCCACTCGATGTGTACCACGTCGTAATCCATCCATGAGAGCATCTCTGTTCCAGCGGTGTATATTCTGCACAAAGCCCAACTGTGGACGATCAGCAACTGCCGAAGGTAATCCAAGCGTGTCCGTGAAAGAGTAGGCTAGTCGAGCGTGAACTGGGATATGGTCACGAGGCGTGTGGGCCGCTATCGCCTGCAATGATCTTCCCATACGTCGTAGCGGCCCCACTGAGAGTGTCTGAGATATCGAACACCGTGGGATGATGATATAGTCCAGCTGGCTGCCCTGCCCCTTATTGTTGAAGTATGTTGCCCCGTAGCCTCTGTGTGTATTGAGTACCGCCATGTCGAGCATGTCGAGAAAGGGGAGGAGGACCTCTGCCGAATACCTCTGACGAACTTTGCCGTGATAGGGTCCAACCGCCGTGCTGTCTGTAGGTCGCCATAGCTCCGAACCTTCCAATCTCGTGAGCCCAAACCCCGAGTTGAGGTCCGTACAGATGATGGGAAAGACTCTGTGCACACTCCAGAAGGGTAATGAGCGTAACCATTTCACAAGAGAATCGCACGTCTGATAATAAGCCTTGAACTGTCCAGTCTTCGCAGGGACTGGTGGGAAGTAAATAGAAACCACAGCAACATCATAATGCTTACAGCGTGCACGCAAAGCAACGCCTCGGCCAGGAACCGGGCACACAAATGTTTGTACCACCGTGCTGCGCTTGATGTGTGGCCCGAGGAGGATAGAGCACCCACAAGACTTATTGCTGTGAGGAGATCTGTGCCAGCCAGCGTCTAAGCACCATCTGGTGCCCACTCGTCGCCACATAGCCACTCCAGCTGGTCCGTAACGCTGCACCCCAGTTGAATTGAGACAAGTAAAATCCGTGTTCTGCGATAGGTCGGCGATGTCCTGCAATCTGTCAGAGGTACTGGCGTACATGGGATTGACTTGCAGGATACTCAATGTGTGCTTGACCCTCTCCAGCGCCGTAGTCATTATGCGGATGGCCGAGGCTGCACTTGTCCCTGTGGGCCCTCAACTCATGCAAGTGAAAGACCAAGAGAGACGCGCTGCCTCGACTGAACGAGCGCCGAAGAGGTAGCAGTGTGGTGGGCTAAATTAGGGTACGGTGGAGGGAGAGTATGGCCAGCCCTGCAGAGCCGACGCTTAGGAGGAGGAGGAGGAGGAGGAGGAGGAGGAGGAGGAGGAGGAGGAGGAGGATAGGAGGAGGAGGAGGAGAACGAGGAGGACGAGGTCGAGGAGGAGGAGGACGAGGAGGCGAGGGTCGAGGAGGAGGAGGAGGAGGAGGAGGAGGAGGAGGAGGAGGTGGGGGAGGAGGAGGAGGAGAGGGTCGAGGAAAAGGAGGAGGAGGAGGAGGAGGAGGAGGAGTAGGAGGAGGAGAGGGTCGAGGAGGAGGAGGAGCAGGAGGAGGATGAGGTAAGAGTGACCGTCGGTGCGCGGCTGTGGGGGGGGCGCGAGGGGGCCGTGCCCCAGCGCGCAGGCCGCTGCTGCCGCAGCGCATCCGGCGATCGGGGTTCCCCGAGGGGCCCGCACCGGAAGTCCCTCTGGCGAAGAAGGGTCACTCTTGCGTGTAGTCTTGCATCAGCCCCGTTCCCGGATCCACCCCTGAGGGTTTACCCTCCCGATCTTTGCCCGTCTGGCTCTGCCACGCGTGCTCTGCTCCTGGCCCCCTCTCCTGCCTTCCCGCCATTCTTATGTTGGGCGTGTCCCCCTACGGAGGGAGCTTCGACGAAAAGTGAAAGATGCTCCAAACATGCTCCCGAATGGTGAGAAACACTAGAAAGAAATTCTCCCCAGACTAGTTGAGCATATTTTTGAATCTTCCTCCTGTAGAGGGACAGGCCCGACTTCACTCTTGCGTGTGATCGATCGAAGGGGGGCGCGCCGCGGCCTCGCGGGCCCGTGTCCCTTCACGAGCCTCACAGGTGCGCTCGGAGACCTCCTAAGTTGGAGAACAGACAATCCACCCTCAGAACAAGCACCGGCTCTGGAGGATGTCTCGGGCGCCGCGGCCTTCTCAGAGCGTTCCAGAACGCTCCGAGAAGGTCCGGAAGCTCCCTTGAACGGATTGATCCTCGTCCTAGCCCCGTCCGATCCAGGTAGATGGGGTCGGAGGATCGCACCGCATCGCCGATGCGTCGGCGACGTCTGCGACGCATCGTCTCCCCAGACATGCTCGCGTCGTAAAAAAACGCAGAACAAGACATTGTGCATCGTTTTGGGCCTCTGTCAGGGCCCTCAATGGGCCCCAGGAATGTCAGAAGTTAGCTCGGGATGAAAAGCCAGTCCTGGGGAAAGGGTCGGAAGTCCCAGAACCACGTACTGGAATCATCAGGGCGTTGCATGTCTAGGTTTAGGTCGGGCACGTCCTCCTACAAGGTTTGGGCGACAATAAAAAATAGTCGAAACATATTCCAAGATACTCAAGAAATGATCAAAAATCGTCCCCAGACCATTGTTATACTATTTTTGAATATTCTTCCTTTAGAGGGACAAGCCCGACTTAAGTCTAGGTCGCGGGCCCGCCCCCCTCGAGGATCCTCAGGTGTGTTAGCGCCAACGTGTGCTTGTCCGACGAGGCCCTTCAAGACGACGGATGACCGGAGCGTCCGTGAATGCCGGCGATGAAGGGTCCGAGGTTGAGCAGGGACCGACCGTCCAGGCATCCCTGCAGGCCTACCACGATATGCTCTTAGAACCCAAAAATGTTACCATAACGAAAACAACGTCCTTAAAACATAAACCCGATGCACTAACACAAAACAGTCTCAGCCAGAAATGTTCTAAGAACATCTCGCGCAGACCACAACAAGTTCTCAGGACGCTTCGCTACTGCTTGTCGAAGGCTCCTCCTCGTGAACCCTCATCCTCCCGGGGCCCGGCCCCGGGCTGATTCGACTCGGCCTGCGGGCCGACGCCCCTGAAGGGAGGCGCTGAGGCGAGGGCCAGTTCTGCGTACCAAAAATGGCCCACTTAGGCTTGCCATCCATCCCAGGAATTCACCGAAGTAACCACTGGATCCAGCCCATCAAAAAGGGCCCAAGAGAAGGCGGAAACGAGGCGAAGGTATAGCGGTATCGGCACTCTTATGCCTCATCTGACTCTCTTTGCGTCGCTCAACTGGCACCCCTTGCCCAGGGCCCTGGGTACGGTCAACCCGTATAGTAAGGATGCGCGACAAAGGATGCCAGGGCCTTGGGCGCCCATTTCGAAGCTTCTCGAGCGGGGCGCGGCCAACGAGAGTGGCTCAGGATGGCCCGAGGAGGCAAGGATGCGGGGGTACCTTTGGGAAGGTTGCCCATCTGTGCTATGCGGGTTGACTGTAAGGGCACTCTTGTGCCTCATATGACTCTGTTTGCGTTGCTCAACTGGCACCCCTTGCCCAGGGCCGTGGGTAATTATCCCAACCCCCGACGTCATGATTTGTCCATGACGTCGACCCCCAGAGGGCTCGACCCCTTCCCTGGGACCAGCTTCTCCTCCTGAGTTCTTGTTTGACGGCCCCGAGGCCCAGCAAAGGCCGCAAAACAATCGATAAATCGCATCGGCGATCGAAACGAACCGGCCCGGCGGACATCATCGGCCGAGTCGGGAAAAACCGAATCGGCGCGACTCGGCATGCTAGTAGGCCTCCCTTGGGGAATCGGAGCCCACATCGGAATCCGAGGTCGAATCGAATCGGAATCGGACGCCATCGGAATCGGCGCACATCGGCATGCTAGTGGGCCTCCCCTTGGGGCATCGGAGCCCACACCGGAACCCGAGGCCGCATCGGATCGGAATTGGACGCCATCGACATCGAACCGAATCGAACTGGAGGAATCGAAACGATCCCTGGCTAGGGGAACCAAAAGTGACATAAGCATAAAAACTCGGAGGTCCGCGCGGATTCCTCGGATCGGCGCTGGACTCCCATCCCTGGCGCGCGGAGCGCGCCAGGGGCGGCGCCGGAGGCGCCGCCGGGGGGCCCGGCGCCGATCCGAGAAATCCGCGCGGACCTCCGAGCTCGTATGTTCATGCCACTTGTTGTTCCCCTGCTCCAACCTGCGTGGGCCGTGCCCGATCAGCGACCACCAGACGATCCGATTCCCTCCCCGCGACGATGCGGGCGCGCTCTGATCCCTTTCCGATCCAATCGGATTCCTTTTATGCTGATGCCACTCTTGTACGTCGACTACGGCACCGCCTGATTCCGAGGCTTTGCCTCCTCCCGGCCTCGTTCTGAGGCTGCGCCCCCCTTTTCCTTCCCCACCTGGCTAATTCAAGCTTCGCGCGGTCCGCTTATAGCTTCGACCCGAAGAGGTGCGCTCTCGACCCGCGAATCAAAAAAAAGTTGATGCCGCTCTTTTGAAGGGGCCCTGGGACACACAAATAAATGCACACAAATAAAAATATCCCCCATGTTTTCGCATATCTTCTGGGTTTTTGTCTTCCCCCCCCACTTCCTATATTTGCCCATATTTTCCTGGGCATCGTTGATTAATTGTGTCTGTGTTTTTTTCCCCCTCCTGATTTTTGCTCCCCGCCTGGCAGAGGGCGCGCGGCGGAGGGGGCGCGGCGCGCGGCGGAGGGGCGGCGAGGGAGGCCCGCAGCTGCCCCGCCCGCGGCCGCCTGGGGGTGTGGGGGAGGAGGGAGGGAGGAGGGAGGAGGGAGGGAGGAGGAGGAGGAGGAGGAGGAGGAGGAGGAGGAGAGGAGGAGGAGGAGGGAGGAGGAGGGAGGAGGAGGGAGGAGGAGGGAGGAGGAGGAGGGGGAGGGAGGAGGGGGAGGAGGAGGAGGATGAGGGAGGAGGAGGAGGAGATGGGAGGAGGAGGAGGAGTCCTCCTCTCCTCCTCCTCCTCCTCCTCCTTCTCCGTTCCTCTTGTCCCTCTTCGTCCTGATCCTCATCCTCGTCATCCTCCTCCTCCTCGTCTTTCCTTCTCCTCCTCTCCTCCTCCTCCTCCTCCTCCTCCTCCTCCTCCTCTTCGTCCTCCTCCTCCTCTGAGGATCTTCGGGGCATGGGGCCCCAGCGTTTGAGGTGTCCCAGATGCTTTCGCAGGGCCACGACTGGCCAAGCAAGTTCAAACACCTCGACCACCAATCATACTTTGCCTGCTCCTGCTCTCCAGCCTCCTCCCAACCCCCCACTTCCAGAAGATCTACCTATCGATCCTCTTGCTCTGCTGCCCCCCTCACTCTCTCCCTTTTTTGTCTCTCCGCCCGATCCTTTCCCTTTTTCTCCTACCAATGCGTACGTACTCCTGCGGCTCCTCCTCCTCCTCCTCCTCCTCCTCCTCCTCCTCCTCCTCCTCCTTCTCATCATCACCATCATCATTACCTCTCAATCCTCCTCCAATTGCCCTTTTTCCGACCCTCTCCCCCTCGTCCTCCTGCCCCAACCGCTCCTCTCATGTTCCTCGCGCAACTCCTCCTAATCGGCTGGGGAATCGGTATTTCAACTATGGTTGATATGTTTTGACTATTGTTTTTGTTTCGAGCGGGTTCGAGGCCCCTTGGTGGCTCTGCGACTCCGCACGATGACGCCGACGACGAGGACTGCGTGCCGACGACAACCCCCACAGATGTCAGGACCCCCGCCATGGGGCCGGCGTTCCATCCTGGAGGAGGAGGAGGAGGCGGAGGAGGAGGAGGAGGAGGCGGAGGAGGCGGAGGAGGCGGAGGAGGAGGAAAAGGAAGCGGAGGATGCGAAGGAGGAGAAGGAGGAGGAGGTGGAGAAGCAGGAAAGGGAAGGAGGACTGGGCCGATGAATGACAAGCCCAGAGACCGGGAACAGCCTGTCGACGCAGAATGGCAAAAAAACCTCCGCCGACAACGTCGACGTCGAAGACGGCGATGGCGCCGTCACGACAACGACGGCGACGACGACGTCGCCAATTGCGACTACATCGACGTCGACAGAATTTTTCAACAAATGAACTATTATCGGGAGCGGCCAAGAGGGGGGTGTCCAAGGGGGGGGGGTGCAAATCATGGCCGGCGGCATGTGCGCGGCCCAGCGGGGGGGCCAGGGACGTAATGAAATAAGAAGAGGCGCCATGAAATCTGCGGAGATATCATGGCCCGCGCCATGATATCCACCCCCCCCTCGTCATCACCCCCCTCTTTTCCGCCCCCGATATTAGGCACCAGTCTCAGCAAGCCGTCAAATGCATCTACCATGAGAGTCGAAACGAAAAGTCTGAACACACTTTAGGGGATAACTACCCAACACATCCCCTGGCCAACCCTTCCTGCCAATCCTCCCTGCGAAACCAGGCCGAACCTCCCGGACAATAATAATACCAGATGCAACCGTGCTGAAAGCGGCCCGGGTTGGATTGACAAGCGCGGCGAGGCGAGAGAGCCGGCCGGTAACCACAAGCCGAGACGGGAGGGCAACCAGAGGGGCGATGGTGCGACGACGCCGACGGCGACGACGGTGGCGACGACGGCGACGACGTCAACGACGACGGCGGCGGCGACGAGAGCGACGGCGAGGACGACGACGCCGTCCGGCGGTAGCGAAGGCGGCGGAGACACGACGACGGCTACGCTATCGGCGCCGGCGGCGTCGGCGACGTCATCCCTGAGGGCGGCGGGGGGCGGCGCCTTCGCCCGAGGAACCCTGGTGCAGCGAGATCTCCCCGAGCGCAGGCGACCCGTGCTCCTGTGGATCCGCGCGGCGCCCCCGAAAGGCTTCCGTGCACGGCCGGGGGCGCGCAGGGGGAAGGAGGAGGAGGCGGAAGAGGACGAGGAGGCGAATGAGGAGGTGGAGGAGGAGGTGGGAAAAAAGGAGGAGGAAAAGGAGGAGGAGAAGGAGGAGGAGAAGGAGGAGGAGAAGGAGGAGGACGAGGAGGAGGGAAAGGAGGGGGAGGAGGGAGAGGAAGAGGAGGAGGAGGAGGGGAAGGAGGAGGGGGAGGAGGATTGGATTGAACAGCGCCTTGAAGTGTCGGGAAATGACAACACCAAGGATCGGCCCGAGTTAAATCACCCTTGAGGCCTTCGCCTCCTCTTGAGCTTTAATTAATTCTGGCGGCAAGAGCCGCCGCTCTCCGCTCATAGGCGGGGGCCGAGGGAGAGTCCGAAAACGCTCGCGGGACTGAGGTAACACACAGCTCGGGCTTATCATGCGCCTCGCGTGCAACATCAAGTCGAGACACAGGCAACGCCTTCTCAAGCAGTTTTTACTTTCAAGGCGGCTAAGGACATCCAGTCCCTTACGCGTAGACTTTCCACAGACCTCAGCGAGCTTCAGGGCTTCCCCTCGAGGCCACCCCCCGCATTTCAAACACAAAATCTTCTGCTCACGGCCAGGGCCAAGGACGAGGTCCAACCGAGAAGCATCAAGAGCCGAGCTCGACACGGCAACGAACTGGTGCCCAAGGGGATCACGAAGCAGCTTCTGGAGAGCAGGAGGCGGGCCCTTGCACCCAAACAAGGGCCTGTCGGGTCGATCACACAACATCCAACAATAACGACACTTAATGCCCAGCTCGGTTCTCCTCCAGAGGTGCCAAATCTTTTGCTAGCGACTTCGACCGATGGTTGTGAAAGCAGCGCGCTTCCATCGCACCTCACTCCTGAAAAGAAGCAAGATCTCAGAAGCAAGCTTGACAGACGCATGAGCTCTTTGTTGATAAAACTCAACATGGTCCAAAAACGTGGGCAGGGCCGCGGATGGCCCTCAAGGGCCTTTTTAGCGTCCTCATCCACCGCACGACCGACGCCAAACCCAGGATCATCCCCTTCCAGGTCCTCAAGGACAGACAGCTCTCGATGGGCCTTGACATGGGAAGTGGACAAACTGTTAGTTAATGGACAAAACGCCTCGCACCAGCAAGTTTATTGGATCGTGAGAACTGCTTCCAGAATGGCTCTGGCTCTGACAAATCACAGCCTTACAATCGAGAGCCAACGACGTGGGGCGATCTGCAACTTGCCCTACTCGGGCCGCAGCAGGATGCTCAGCCATCGCAGGGGTTTGGGGAAGCCCACCTGGCAAGATACCCCTCAAGATAGCAAGAAGAGGTTCGCTGTCTGGCTCCATGAGAGCAGTGGCCCACGACGCGCGGTGGAGACAGCGCAGGGCCTGCTTCGCGCAGCTGCCGTCCGGAACCATCTCAAGCTCGACCGCATATCCTGCAAGGGACGCGACTTCCTCGGGCTGCATATTCAAATCGTGCCCTGCGCCATCTACAATGTCACAGGTGGAATGAGTAGCAGAAACGGGCACATCATCATCAGAGAAAACGAACAAACCAGATTGAAAACATGATCGTCGCTGTGTGCCCCCTCCTCTAGGATTTCCGACATAATGTCAAGAGACTGCCGGGCTTCCACAACTGCAGGCAACCCACAGGTGTACAACCTATGGTGCAACGTGTCACGCTGACCGCCAAACACACATGCCATCAATCAAATATCCTGCATCGCACGCGCGCGCCTCAGTCCAGATCGCATCTGTGGCGCACGACAAAAGAAGGAACTGCTGCTGCCGAGTAAGCTGCTTCGTGCGCGCGCACACAATTACGCACAAGATCAAACGTGGCACGCATACCATGCGCATGCCCTAACCTCCGTGCAAGACGGAACTCCGCCTCTCTCTGCAGGCCTTCACGGAGGAGATCGAAGAGGAGGCGAGGTGGGGTCTGACAGATATCTACCGCACAGCCCCAATGGTCGATCCACTGCGTTCCTGACACCACTTTCCATCCAGCACGACGCGCCGACAAGGTCGAACGAGCGAGCGGCCCACGGCTGGATATTTAGCCTCACTGGCGTTGGCCTGCTCCCAAAGTTGGAGCAGCTCCTGGAAGGGGATCAGGGAACGCTCGGGACTGACCTGGGAATTCCAAAGCATTCGACACCAGTGAAGGGCAGGACAAACAGCAGCCCTGGTGTCCCACCCTCCATATAACACAGCTTTAGCGGTGGCACTTGTCCCACCATGAGAGGGTGGCATGCGACGAGACTGGGTCCGTCGCAAAAAGTTGAGCTCAACTTCCGAGAAACCCCAAACCTCAGAACCGTACGGAGACGCAGGAGCAACACCAGTGCGAATGACCTGAGAGAGACCTCTTCTTGGCTTCCTTATTTGGAACTCGGGACTTAAATCGACCAATCGTTTTGACTCGCAACTTCATGCCCCAGAGCCGAGAGCGCTGTTTAACCCCGAAAGCCCGTGTACACTTTTCGATGTGTTCGTGTCATACTTGCGCAGGGGCCATGCTAATCTTCTCTGTATCGTTCCAATTTTAACGGATGATTCCCGAAGGGAATCCAGGAGGAGAGGAGGAGGGAGGAGGAGGAAGATGAGGAGGAGGAATAGGAGGAGGAGGAGAAGGAGGAGGAGGAGGAGGAGGAGGAGGAAGGGGAGGGGGAGGAGGAGGCAGGACATGAAGAGGCCGCACCTTGATGGCGCCTCTGCAGATGATTCGGCAGTCCTGGGTGTGCACGCGAGGTGGCGTGCAAGAGTGCAGTAGGGGCTCGACCACAAGAGCCCCTTCCACAAGAAACCCAGCCCTGAGACCCCAAGACGTCTCTCTATTCTTGGCATGGGAGCGTCACGCTCTCCACCGCAGAACCATCGACACCCAGGAAGCTCTTGGGCACCCTCGAAGCAGGCGGGGTGTGCTTCTTGGCATGGGCCTCCACTGGAGCAAGAGTGGCAGCTGCCCCCGTGCCTCGGAGAGGTCGCTGCACTCAAAGGCGCACGCGTCCACGGGGAGGAGGAGGAGGAGGAGGAGGAGGAGGAGGAGGAGGAGGAGGAGGAGGAGGAGGAGGAGGAGGAGCGCGTGAAACGCCAGCTCGGGGGAGGACGGCTCCAGGGAAAACGCATCGAGCTGGAGTCGGCGACGCGTCGCCGAGGAAGCGGCGAGGGGCCCTCGATGGCGGCTCCGCAGGCTCCTGCCTGGGCGGGGGTGGGCGGCCGGGACCCTGTCGTCGGCGATCCGTGGGCGAGGGGTTCGATGCTTCCCCCCGGGTGCCTGTCCGCCCTAAAGCTGCCCCTGAAGGCGTTTGGAAGGGGCGAGGAGGGGGGATGGGGGAGAGGATGTGGAACGATGACAGCCTCACGTCGTGGACGAAACTTACGGCGGGAGGTTTTCTCTGGTCTTCGGGCTTCCAGGGGCCCCTAGTAGAAACAGGGTGAGCGAGAGGAAGAGGATGTAGGAATAGATGGGAAGACGAAGGAGACGGATCAATTAGACAGAAAAAAGAGGGGGAGAAGAGCTCATCAAGAGAAATGAACACATTAATACCCATGCCAAGGTGGTCTGGACACCGAGACGCAATCACGTGGATCTGGCCGATGGATGCGTTCCGCGCGGGGCATCCGTGCAATGCCGCCCTGTCCATCGGGTCGCGGCCGAGGAGTCCGGGCCGCGAGGCTGTGGCTATGGACACGTTTCCCGCCCATGACCGCAACCCCTGCTCCGACGTTGTGTTTTCTTTTGGGAGCGTCGACCCCAGAACTATCCACCCCATCCCCAGGACCTTGGGCCTTGGCGAGGGCCCCTGAAAACTGTATATGGCCAGAGACCTCCGTCGGCTGGTGACGTCTGTTTGCAGAGCGAGGTCTTGGTCCTCGTCCCCCCGGCTAGACGCAAGGGCGACCTGGGGCAAAGGGAACCTTTACTGCGCGGATTCCAGGGGGTCCGGAGACTGGGGCCAAAGCCGAGCGCACAAGCCACTGCTATCACAACGCGTTCAGCATTCGGGGGACCCCAGTGGGCCCGCACCAAGTGCCACTCCGGTGAAGGGTTTTCTCTTGCGCGTAGCTGGTTTGGTTTTCGAAGCATACACTGGGTCTCTGGCGGCCTTTTGGGACGTTGCGGTACTGGAAAGCATCTTGAGGCCAGAGTACCTTCGAGAACAACTGAAACACCCAACGTGTACAGCCATCGTGCTAGAAATAAGAACGCTGAAACAATGAACGGACGATGCGCGGAAACGTCCCGCCGCCGAGGGCGGGCTGAGCCGTTACTGGCTTGCTCAGGAGGCCGGAGCCTCATATGAGGTAGTCCTTGAAACAGAGCTCGAGCTTCATGGGCTCACGTCAACGGCAGGGAATCGGACAGGCCGCCCCGAAGGCGTTTTTTCCGCTTTGCGGACGAGGACAAAGCAAACTGGGGGCAAACGTAGGCGAGGATGCGGCCATCTTGCTACCGGAAGAAGCGCTGGCCGAACAACGAAGGGGCTTTTCTGGACACGGGGAGCCTCAGCCACGAATGTATGTGTTCCAATCTGCAGCCGAAGCGGTTCCGGGCATATTTGGGCGGCGCGTCATGGGGGGCCCATCAATTGGGGGGCAGCGAGGGCCGCGGAAAAGCATGCCTCGAGGGCCCCCATCAAGGGAACCGCTGGGACCCAAAAGGAGCGCGAGAAGTGCACCCGTCTCCCCCCCTCCCCCCCCCCCATTCTATCGCCCCCCCCCCCCATGATGCAGGAGTGCCAAGAATCGAATCGATAAGTCGGATCGGCGGTCGAAATGAATCGGATCGGCAGAAATCGGCAGCCGAGTCGGGAAAAGTCGAATCCGCGGAAATCGGCAGGCTAACATGCGTCCAAGAAGGAACCGGAGCCCAGATCGGAATCCGAAGTCGAACCGAATCGGAACCGGAAGCCATCGAAATCGAATCGAATCGAATCGGAGGGATCGAAACTAGCCCTGGTGAGGAGCGCCGCCCAGCATCTCTGGGGGAGGGGCTGCGGGCCGCGGCGGAGTCTCCCCCAGCACGGCGTCGCTCAAGCTCAGGGCGCCGCCGCGGGCCGCCTCGAAGGCGCCTTCCGCGCGCGGCTGCGCGCGCGCGCGCGGGGGGGCCTTCGCCGGCGCGCCTGCCCCCCCCCCCCCCCCCCCCCCCAATGGCGATCGCCCCCCTTCTCAGCCCCAGGCGCCCTCTAGCCTCCCACCCTCTGTGTCCCCGTCTTCCGATCGCCCTCCTTCGACTCGCAGCCCTCCGTACGCTCCCCCCCCCTCCTGCCGCGGTGCTCCTCTTCCTCCTCCGTCCCTTCTCCTTTTTTTTGGTAGCTCCTCCCTCTCTGTCGCACCCCGGAGCCTGTCGAAAGGGCGGGCCGGGCGTTTCGCATGAGATGTCCTCGCCGCTTATGACCGTGAAGCATACAATTTGCAAGAGCTTCACGGATGGAGAGCGGTCCGTTTTCAAGCTGTGGCTCTCGCTTTAGCGCCGCGCACATTCCTGTTACAATTTTGCGAAAAGGATCTGACGGATGGAGGGCGGCCCGTTTTCAGACTGTGGCTCTCGGCTTTGCGCCGCGCACCTTCGTCTTCCACGTTGAAAGAGTTTCACGGATGGAACGCGGTCCGTTTCCAACATGTGGCCCTCGCCTCCACGCCGTACTCATTCGTTTTCGAAGTCTAGGTTTTTGCGGACGAGGGGCGGGCCGTTTTCACAATGTGACTCTCGCCTCAGCGCCGCGCGCAGTCGGTTCCAAACAAATCAACGGTTTTACGGATGGCGGGATCCCTTCTCATAGTGTAGCTGTCGCTTTAGCGCCACGCACATTCTGAAGGGGCCCTGGGACACACAAATAAATATACAAATAACAGGATTCCTTTATTTTTCTGGGCTTTCGTCTTCCCCCCACTTCCCATAGTTTCCCATATTTTCCTGGGAGTCGACGATTAATTGTGTGTGTTCGCCGCGCACACTCGTCTTGTAAAATTGTAAGAAGCGCCACGGGTGGAAGGCGGTTCCTTTTGCAAACTGTGGCTCTCGTCCCAGCGCCGCGCACCGTCATCTTAAGATTAGGTCGGGCCTGTCCTCCTGCAGGGAGATTTTGGGCGAAACATTTCTTAAGTCAGACAATGCCCTACAATACTCAAACATTGTCAAAAATCGTCCCCAGACAATTGTGTTGTCTATTTTTGAATATTCCTCCTGTAGAGCGACAGGCCCGATTTAATCTTAAGAGTTTGTGGAAGTTTCCAGGACTCAATGGCTCTCCTGGCCAGCCTCACAGAAACGGCGTTCTGGCACAATCTCGAAACGTCAGGGTGCAATTGTCACCCTGATTCGCGGTGCTGAGGTCCCAGGGATGGCGTTCTGGCGCGATTCAGGATCGTCAAGACGCAACAATAACGGTGACTCGCGGCGTTGAGTTCCCAGGAAAGGGAACGGCGTTCTGGCACAATTCCGGATTGTCACGCGGTTGTCTTCAAACAGGGCACATCCCTCAGCAGCAATGAATCAGTGCAGGAGCCTATGACGAGGGAGTTTGGAAGGAAAGTTCCTTGCCACATCGTTGATGCGTTTTGGGTTTGCACCTGTCCTCCTCCTCCTCCTCGCCATTCTCGTCTTCCTCCTCCTCCTCCTCCTCTTCCTCCTCCTCTTCCTCCTCCAAAATCGGCGAGAGTTTCAGTGCACGTCGCCCGAGTCCTCCTCATCCATCCCGCCTCCGTGCAGCAGCTCCTCATCCTCCAAGCCTCTCCCCATCCCACCAGGACTCTCCTGGCCACCTTTTACGTGTGGCTGCCCTGGGCCGGCGTCGGACACTCCGGGCACGCGCTCGAGGCGAAGCGCAGCCGCTCTGCAGTGCGCACCACGGCCCATGGTGCGACATAGCACCGCACTCTCCTTGCGACGGGATCTCAGCACTCGCAGCCGCCCCAATGGTGCACTGGCACGACCCAGCTGCAGAAGTCCTGAACGGAGGGGCACGCCGCCAACACTCTCACGTGTTCTGCCATGCCAACTCCCGCCCCAACCAGACGGGACGATACGCTTCGACACCAGCGGCGCGGATCCACGCCGCGGTCGAGGACAGCCGAGGGACCCCGCGGGGCCCCCCTGGGATCAGAAGGAGTGGGAGGAGCGCGGGCGCGGGGGATGGGGAAAGGAGCACGCTCAAAACCTGCAGTCCTTGAGCGTGTGTGCCAGAGCACGCGCGTGCACAGCAGGGAGTCGTGGAGCCGACGGGGCGAGACACGCGGGTGGGGCGGGCGGACCGAAAGGCGGGACAGGCGGGCGGACTGTGTGGGCGGTGTTGACAGGCCGGCCTCCCAGGCGGGTCGGGCGGGCGGCACATCCAGGCGGGCGGGGCGTGCTTCCAAGCAGCTCGAACGGGCCGACCCTGACGGGCGGGAGATGAAGAGAGGGCAGAAGAACCACCCTCACAAGAAGCACCCCGACAAGGGATACCGTTTATAGAGGCCTCCCAGATGGGGTCCGAGTGGGCTCGAAGGATCTCGCCGCATCGCCGATACATCAGCGATGCATCGGCGATGCATTGGCGATGCATCGGCGATGTCGGCGGTGCATCGTCGACGCCAGAGCGAATAAAATCGGGCTTCACATCGAGCCGCATCGCCGATGTATCGGCGATGCGGCGCGATCCTCCGACCCAATCTACTCGGACCCCATCTGGGAGGCCTAGAGTTTAGTAAACGCACCCACAGAAGAATGGAAAAAGCCAGAGCTGTGTAGTAGACGCCCTGGGTCGTTTAGTAAATCCACATGTGGTTCGAATTGAAACGGGCTGGCAAAATTTCAAATTACACCCGAAAAAAAACCCAATCAGTGGATGGGTTGATCGATAAGGAGATCGACCGGGAAAAGGGAATCCGGAACCCACCGAAATCGGCCCCGAACCAATAACCAGGAACCCGGGAACCCGGGAACCCAACTGGCCACCAAAATCGGCGGGACTTTTTCGCCAAATCTTTCATTTTCCGCTATAGGACCCGTTCTTGAGCAGGGACCGACCGTCCCGGCATTTCTATAGGCCTTTACCACGAAATGTTCTTAGAACCCAGAAATGTTCTTAGAACAAAAGCACTGTTCTTAGAACACAAACCCGATGTGTTTGAACAACACGGTCCCAGCCAGAACTTCTCTAAGAACACTTCGTGGAAGCAACGGTTCTCATAACAGTGTTCGGTAGGCCTACAGGCACGCCACGCCAGGACGCTTCGCCACTGCTTGACTTTCAGTGCGCAAGCACTGCTTGGGGCACCAACGAACGAGCGGACCTGACGGGCAGGTCGCTGACGAGCGGGTAGGGCGCACCTGCGGTTGAGATCCCCGCCACTGCGGTGCATGTTTCTGCGCCGCTGCGGTTGAAATGCCAACCGAGCCTGCGTAAAAACCCATGTGCCAAGGCTCAAAAACCCATGTGTCAAGGCTCATTCCACCTCGTCGTAAAAAAAAACCCTTGTGCGTTCAAAAGGGTTGTTTTTTCCCCTTTGAACCCTGAATTCCTAAATTCCTTGATGTGGGCTTTTGGATTCGGGCGGACCTGGGCGAGCGGGGCGGGCCCGAGCGGGGCGGGACGGGCGCGCGGGCCCCAGCGGACGGGCTGAGCAGAGGAAGCCCGGCGGGCGGCCCGGGCATCCGAGCGCCAGCCCCCTGAGCACAGCAGGAGATTCTCGACCACAGGGAGCCTTCCGCAGGAAGCCCAGCCCTGAGTCCCCAGGACGTCCTGCGATATTTTTGGTGTGGGAGCGTCACGCCTTCCGCAGCAGAACCATCGACGCCCAAGAGACCCAGGGCACCCTGGGGGCAAGCAGGGTGTTTCTTGGCATGGGCCTCCACTGTAGATCGACCAACGCCGCGCTGACGGCGTGCTTGGTTAACGGTGCGGTTGGGAATATTGTATTTGTGACGCCGACCTCACGCAAAACAAGCATGTAGGAAATCACGGAACACCATGCCCTAGATTTCAGATGTGCGAATGTGTCGAACGAAAACGACACAACGAGTTGTAGGAAAGCACGAACCACGCGTTCCTACAATTGGTTTGGCCACGAACCACACCTTCCTACAATTGGTTGTCCTACTTCGCCGTTTGCTAACACACCGTTAGCGCGTCTACGGATCGGGAGGGAGTCTCGGGCGGAAACGCAACTCCAGATACAGGGATAGGAGTCCTGGACTTGGCGAGGGGGCGGTTCCTGGATAGCTTGTGGCTCCAAGAGAGCTCGCTATGCCTGAGCGATGAGGGGGCGAATCTCGAATACTTGGCTCAGGTCGGGCATGTGCTCCTGCAAGTGGGTTTTGGGATCAAATGAAACATAGTCAAAACACGTTCGAACAAAAACACTGGAAAATAGTAGAGACATCGTCCCCAGTTTATTTTTAGACTATGTTTGAAGACTCCTCCTAGGGACACGTCCGACTGAACATTTGTTGAGAAGGCCGCAGGCGAGGGCGCGACTCTCGAGTCCCCATCGAAGAGATTTGTGTTGCCCCAGAGGGCGCGACTCCTTAAAAACTGTCGGGCAGTCTCCGTCGGGGGCTCAGGAGCACCATTTGAGCCAGAAGACTCCGGGAGACGTAAGACTCGGGTTCGGGGGACTCGGGCTGGCGAGATCCAGTCTGATGATTGACGCGAGCTCCCGCTGCAAACGTCCCACGAAAACTGGACCGTCAAAACCCAGGACGCACTCGTCAAACAATCGTCGGCAAATCCGGATTCTGGCGTGCTCGAGACTTAATTACGTTTCCCAAAGAGGTTTCCCGTGACAAAGACAACTGCGAGAACCGCGGGGTCACCTCGAATAGGCACAGGTGGGGATCGGCAACCCGCGTCCGTCAGAGATGATAGACAACAACAGCTACATGCGAGATGATGATCGCTCTTCTTCACTCGACGCGAGACACTCCTGTGTATATGCCCAGAGCCCTCGACTCCTGCCCCCAATTCGTAGGAACGCTCCCCCTTTGGATGCTCCGTGTTTCAATGCCAACTCCTGGGCAAATCCCGATAGGAAATCTCGGGCGAAAACCGTTGTTGCTGCAGTCCGGGGGCCAACAGCGCAGTTTGAGCCTGACGACGTTCACTGACGCTGCGGGAAACCATACAGGAGGCACTGGGGGCGGGGACCAACAGTAGTCAAGTGTTTCCAAAATGAGACTAGAATTCATCAATTCGATTTCGCACCGCGATCCTCGAGCATCGACGCGCCTCAGCGATCCTCGAACATCGATGCGAGCCTCGAACCGTCTCAGCGATCCTCGATCCTGGATGCTCGAACCTCGATCGGCAGACCCTTTGATCTTGGACCTCGATTTAGGTCGGGCCTGTCCCCCTGCAGGCGGATTTTGGACAACAAATAAGAACAGCATTCAACACATACTCAAACACTGGCAAAACATGCAGAAAATAGTATCCAAACTATTTTTTATTTTTTTTTTGAATATTCCTCCTGTAGAGGGGCAGGCCCGACTTCAACCTCGATCATCGAACCTCCGAGATGCTTCCCCCGAAATCCGTACAATGGAGGCCAGTCCACAGGAAACCTTCCGGAAGAAACCCAACCCTGAGAACCCAGGAAGTCCATGGCTTTTTGGTGTGGGGACGTCACGCTCTCCGCCGCAAGACCGTCGAAGCCCAAGAACCCCAGGGCCCCCGGGAGGCAAGCAGCGTGTCTCGTGGCATGGGGCCTCCGCTGCACGAGTCCGAGCACGACCCCTGCCAGGGTCCGCCTTGGCCAGTCTTTCGAGCCGCGACCAGCCGCGGCGACGAGAACCTCTGGAGGCCCCATCAAAAAAACCCTCTGGACCCTGGACCCTCGAATCTCGATCTCAGGCATACGATGTGATTTCTTCAATCCGCTGTCCCAGAACTCCCGCCCAAGGGCGCTTAACTTCGCGCGTCGCGTTGCGCGAAGCGCGAATACCCTCACGCTCTCGCGCCGCCCCCCATTCGGTGGCAAGTCATGGGAGCCTCCCGTACCACCTTGTCGGCTTGTGCATATCGACCCTAATCGACGCTAAATCGACGATGCCCGACGCTAAATCGGCGCTGTCTCATCGACTCCAGACGCTAGTCGTTGCTGAAGACGGAATTAAAAGGGTATACCCGGCTCCCATGATTTGCCACCGAACCCCCAAGGGAGAAGTGAGGAGGATGAGAAGTCGGTTCCGAACCGCGAAGCACGAAGAACGACGCACCCTCGAGATTCGCCCTGGCCGACCGAGTGCCCCGGGGCAATTGATCTTTGCTGGTCCCAGGGCCTGAAGCAGGCCGGACAGAGGCCAGGATCGGGGGCACTGTTCTGCGTCGGCGGCGAGGCAGAGGCAGTCCGCACCAGCGTGGGGCGAATCGGAGCATCCGATAGGGAAGTTTTTCGGCGTGCAAGAGAGAGAGGCGAAGACGAGGGCGGCTGCGCGAAGGGAATCGAGGGAACACGCTAGGACTGCCCCCAAAAAAAACATCCGCCAGAATGCCTGGGTCGACCCCCGAACTCCGAGCCTCGATCCCCTGACCCAAGCCATGGGCGGATGCTGCTGCGTCGACGAGCCCCCCAGGAGACCTGGAAGGGAGGAAGCACATGGACAAAATAGATATTGGGAATGCACCAGGAGCTCGACCACAAAAAACATGCACAAGAAATCCAACCCTGAGGCCCCAGGACGTCCATTGATATTTCCGGTGTGGGAGCGTCTCGTATTCCATGGCGAAAGCTATCGAGAACCAAGAAACCCAGGGCACCCTGGAGGCAAGCAGGGTGTTTCTTGGCATGGGTTTCCACTGCATGGAGCAGTCAACCCGTATAGCAAGGACGCACGATGAGCATGCAAGGGCCTTGGAGGGCCATGTTCACGTTGTTCGAGCGAGGGCTGGCCAGCGAAAGTCGCTCAGGATGGGCCGGAGGGGGCACGGCTGCGAGGGCCATCTTGGAAAACTGCTCATCCTTACTGTGCGGGTTGACTGCAAACTCGTTCAACGTCGGCGCGCGCGCAGAGGTTTTTGACACCGCGTCGATCATTCAACCTTAGACCGATCGCGGCCCTGATCGTTCAAAGGTGAAGCCTGTCGGATCCTTGAGCATTGCCGTGTCCATCGGTGCCTCCGCGTCGCTCCATCGTACGGAATTCAACCTTGAACGCCCGCGCCAGCGTCGCCGGCGCGCCATCGCCGCATGAACATACCGTACGCGCGCAAGAGTGACTCGAAGCAAGAGCGACCTTTTTCGAGCTGCATGCCGATCGTTGCGTGCGATGCGACAGTAGCGGCCTGCACCCTTGGGTTTGCCCCGTCCCCCCCCATCGCGCCCATCGAAAACCGCAAACTGAAAGTCGCTCCTGCGAAGGGTCACTCCTCATTACACGTAGCCTAGGCTAACAATTCATATGAGCATATGTATACTGGTATTTCCACCCCAACCCACGACTCAGTGAGACTCTCGACGAAACACATCATTTTGGGAACACCTCGGGGATCTACGATGGGGGGGGCACCCGTACTCAATAGAGGTGTTTTCAGATAGCCCCCTTGGGATGTACCCCCGAGCTCCCTCTGCTCGGAGCGGTAAACTTATGCTGGGAGGAGCTCGGCAAGAAATCGCTTGCGAGATAACATCGAATGGGGCGCAAAAGAACGTACCAATCCTATGGCCCTCTCTTGGAGGTGCACGTCCGACTGGAACAGATTTGCCACAACAGCATCACATCATACTGCAAACAAAGCGGCGTGGCCAGGAAGCGCCTCCACGGAGCTTCTGGTGTACCATGTTTCGTTGCGCGTGGCCAGCCCTGTGGGGCCAACGCCGACACAGTAGAAGTACAGCGCGACCTGGCAGTGGACCCCTCTGGACGCCCAAAATTGATGCCGAAGCCGGTGGCCCATGGCCCGTGGCCGAGGGTCAATATGGGTGGGCCGAGGGGCAAACATTGAAGGGGCCCTGGGACACACAAATAAATGCACCCAAGTAAAAAAAGATTCCCCGTATTGTCCCATGTTATCTGAGTTTCTGTCTTCCCCCCCACTTCCAATCTTTTCCTATATTTTCTGGGGATCGACGATTGCTGGTGTCTGTGTGTTTCTTTCCCTCCTGATATATGGAGGCCGTTTCCCTCCAGGCTCTGGCAAGTCTACCTGCACGGAGGGGGGAGAGGGGGGGGGAGGGGGGCGAAGCCCAACGAAGAAGTGTGGACTTCGCACAAGTCGAAACTCCCTTGCACGCCTCTTTGAAACAGCGCTGTTGGAACAGGCGGCGGAGGGGGAGCGGGGGACGGGGTCGGTGGATGGGTGGGTGCGGGGGGGGTCGGGGGGGCGAGGTGCTGTGCAAGTGACCCTGCCTCGTGTAAAACTTGACATGCAACGCCCAACGCCTGCGCATTTTCACGGACCTTGCGCGAGATGACGTAGCGACCTTACGCGGAGGCTTACGCGGGCCGCTGGCGCGACACGCTGCGTTGGAAGCGAGGGCGCTTACGCGCGAACTTACGCGGGCAGCTTCCGCCACCAATGTCGGCGCAGACGACCCTCGATCCCTCCTCCTCCGCCTCCTCCTCCCCTCCTGATCCACCTCCACCTCCCCTCCCCCTCCTCCTCCTCCTCCTCCTCCTCCTCCTCCTCCTCTCGTCGTCCTCCTCCTCCTCCTCCTCCTCCTCCTCTTCCTCCTCTCCCTCCTCCTCTCTCCCTCATCTTTATCCTGTCCTCCCTCCTCCTCCTCCTCCTCCTCCTCCTCCTCCTCCTCCTCCTCCTCCTCCTCCTCCTCCTCCTCCCCCTCCTCCTCCCTGTCGTCGCGCACCTCGATCCTCGATCCTCGAGGGGCCCGGCGGGGCCCGGGCAGCGGCCGGCGCCTCCGGCGCCCCGGGCCCAGCCGCGCCAGGGCCAGGAGCGCACCGGCCGGGCCTGCGCGCTTGCCAGGAGAGGCGCGCATCCGAGAAACCCAAGAGGTTCTCCTCCTCCTCCTCCTCCTCCTC